GGGGGGGGGTGTGACGGAGCGCCGTACAAGGGGTGCACAGTAGTTGCAAGTGATGCATGGAATAAGAACAGACACCCCCCCCCCCCAACGGCAGCTTTGAACTGCAGTTGTTTGCCTGCGGCAGCCGCAAGGGTTGAACGCTTTGTGCGGCGAGTGAGTAATCTTTTTGGGGGCCGGCCGGCCACCAGAGTACGCACTCACGTGTGGGTGGGTGGCCGGCCGGCCCAACAAGTGCTGGCCCCCCCTGGCCCCTGGCGGGGTGGCGGGGCGGCTCTCCCACCTTCCAGCCTTGAGTCGGTGCCAGTAGTCCTCCAGCTGCCCCTTCACGCCGCCGCGCTCGCGCCGACCCCGCCGCCCTTGGACCGCGTCCGGGCGGCGACGGGCTGCGCCGCCTCTGCGCGCGCACGCAGCTGGCGGCGCGTCCGCGCCGCGACCGGCTCCGGCGCGGAGAGCGGCGCCCGCGGCGCGCAGGCCTTGATGCGGCCTGCCACGGGGGCGCCGCCAGCAGTAGGCTGGTCCGCCGCGAGGCCGGTGTCGATGCTGCCGCTGCCGCCGCCGCTGTTGCCGCCGCCGCCGTTGCTGCCGCCGCCGCCGCCGCTGCCGCTGCCGCTGCTGCTGTCGCCGCCGCTGCCGCTGCCGCTGTCGCCGCCGCTGCCGCTGCTGGTGACGGCAAAGACATCGCCGCCGATGCAGTAGCAGCAGCGCACGGCCCCGACCCTGGCAAAGGTGAAGTCAAAGGCGGGCCCCTCGGTGCCGCTGCCGGCGCTGACGCCCGGCGCGGCGCTGATGGCCACCTGCTCGTCCGCCACCGCGGCGCAGGCGCCGCCGGCTGTGGGGGCCGAGAAGACCTCCAGGTCCAAGGGGGCGCCCATGAAGAAGGACAGGGAGCCGCCGCCGACCACGCTGCCCAGGCCGCTGGGGCCCGCCGCCGCCGCAAAGTGGAAGGGCTCCTTGGGCGCCTGCCGCCAGGGGTTGAAGGGCGCCTCGCCGTCGGCGGCGAAGAAGGCGTCGATCTCGTCGGCAAACGCGGCGTCGTACGCGCCGGGCGCGGCGCTGATGCTGTCCTGCTCGTCCACGACGGGGCAGTCGGGCTGCGGCGCGGGGGCGCCGCCGGCGCCGTCGTTGCTGCCGCAGTCGAAGGGGATTGGCCCCAGCAGCAGGCCGCTGTCGTCGTAGCACAGCTCGTCGTCGCTGAAGCCGGCGCTCAGCAGCCAGGCGCGGTGGCGCTCGTTGAAGTAGGCCAGGTCCTCCTTGCTGCGAAAGTCGTCGCCGCCGCTGGGGCCGCCAGGCGTGTCGGCAATGCCGCAGGCGGGCACCTGCGGGGAGGGTCGTGCAAACCAGGACCTGGGCAGCGGCAGCGAGGGCTCGTCGGCGAGATCGGCGCTGCTGCTGCTGCTGCTGCTGGCACCAAACAGGTCTGTGGGCTTCATGACGCAGTCATCATCAAAGCAGTCGCTGCCAGAGGCCACGGAGGCCTCGCAGGGGGTGATCGGGTTGCGCAGTGCATCGTGAGATTTAAAGCAGGGGGTGCCGGTGGCATAGTGGCGAAAGCCAATGTTGTTGAAGAGATCGTAGAGGGCCATGATGGTGGCGAACTCGATCGTAGGGGACCAGCGTCGTGTTGCCACGCGATGATCTTGTTGGGTTGCAGGTTGACTGCTTGCAGGAGGCTTTGGGTCCTTCCAGGTGAACTGAAAGTGAACGATGCTGTAGAGGGTGTACGCTAAATAGGGCCGGGGCGGGATCTGGGCGGTCTCATTGCGGTTTGACCAAACTCGAACTCTCAGATCGGGGGATTTGGCATCGTCTTGGGTTCCTGGAAGCTGAGGAAGCACTCCTCAGGGCTGAGGGATCACATGGCGTCGAGCATTGTAGGGCCCTCGCTGGATGATCTGGGCGCAGCGGCTGACGTGGCGCGGCGCTGCAGGCGGTGGCGCACAGGCGCACGCATCGCTCTGTTCGTTTGTTGTTCTCAACGTACCGGCGTCATGGGGTACATCAATAGACATACGGTTTTGCTGCACATCCCTGCTGTGTACACACGGTGCAATCACAAGCACCACCACTGCCGGCGGCTGTGCCCTTGTGCAGGCTGGTTGGCTGGTGCTCTTGAGGTGCGTCTCGGATCATCACTGCACTGCCTGTGCCCTGCTACTTGCTGTGAACATACATGTGAAAGATCAATCATATGCAAGCGGCTTCACACTCAATCCACACAAACTCCCGTCAAACCTCAGCCAGGCGGTCGCCGTTTGCATCGCCACAAGCAAAATAGCGCGAGAGAGTTCAAACCCCAGCTGTTCGTCTTCAGTAGGAGTATCAAGGCTGCAGCCAGCTGGCTGCGCCCAATGTGCCAGTGATGGCCCTTCTCGTAGCCAGCACATCACCCTGGTGTGTGCTCTGACCGCCCTGCCAGGCCTCAGCAGGGCTGCCGCACCAGCACAATGCCACAGCTGTAGCACGCACCCCTCCCTCACACGCAGATTCCAAGCGGCGGGGGGGGGGGGGGGATGTTAGCGCTGGCGGCGGGTCGCGCCGGGGCCGGCGGGGGGCACGAATACGTTGAGTGGGGCGCTTGATTGCGACGGCAGAGTCTACGAGGGGATCGGCAGGCCCGGCCGCGCGCTTCTGTGTTGCACCTTGGGGGGGCGCGGGCGTCACTGTCACTGTCGAGCAGGTGACCGTAGCTGGGGGCGGCGCCAGGGCCGTGGCAGGTCAGATGGCCGGATGGTGAAGAGGTTGACTTTTCACGCAGCATGACACACGCCTGATGCAGGTGCTGCGTGAGTGCGTCCGGCCTTTTGCTTGGTCGTGGTCACTTGCGCCTCCACACAGGCTGCTCGCAGGCAACCCCACGTTTACTGCAGCTACACAGCCACCCTTGAGCAATCACGCCTCTGCCTGCCGCCTGCACACGCCAAGAAACATGCACGCATGCCAAAGAAACATGCACACGTGATGTGAGCTGCGGGGAATAACATGTGTGTATGAAAAGTGGCGATGACCTCGACGTTTGCAAGTGTGACTTTTGAACCACAGTAACCAAGAGACCCAAGACAGAAACAGATGAAACGCCCAAAACTGGCAGGGGCCAGAGCGGCGAAGCCAAACAGCCTGAGGATCAGCAGCGCGATCCGACCCCAACAATGCAAGCCGCCGACCTCACAGCTCGTCCTTCTGCCCGCCGTCGCCCTTTGACACGGCCTGCTTTTTCTTCTTCTTGGACTTCTTCTTCTTCTTGCTGCTGGCAGCCTTGGCTTTCGCGGCCGCCTCGGCCGCCGCCTTGGCCGCAGCCTCTGCCTTGAGCTCCTCCTCAACCTGCGGGATCATTTGGTTGCGTCGAGGCGAATCGTGCCGAGGTGCCGCCAGCTGCATGTGAGCACGGCGCTTCGCAGAAACAACCCAGGCTGGTCTCCGCTGGCACGTGTCCAAATCGGCGCCCCGTGGCCTCAAATCTCCTCCCCATCCGGCCGCATACGATACCAGCTGCCTGTTGCCGCAGTGGTGTGATCCCGCAAGATCAAGATCATGCCTCCCACAGCCCCGTACCTTGCGCAGCTGCTCCTCCTTGGTCTCAAGCCGCAGGTCAACCTCCTCGGCCATGATCTCGCTCAGATCAAACTCGTCCTCCGCAACCTCGTCCTGGGAACCCTCGTCGTCCGCGCCGGCGTCCGCGTCGCCGCCGTCCACGAATCGGGGCAGCTCCTGCCAGGCGGTGGCGGCGCCCCCCGCATCAACAGTAAGGCAGAGTGATAAGATCCACAGAGAGGGGGTATCAAGCAGTAGGCTGCTGTGCACACTGCACTGACACGATTTTTGTCCTTTGCGACTGACGCCGCCGACAGAAGTCAACACTTAACAAACGTTTGTCAAGTCTGACTGACAGCATTGCAGCCCGCATGCACAGCCCAACGATCAACCTCAGCGCACCTGCAGCGGCTGAGTGGGCAGCTTCCCCGAAAGCACCCCCTCCAGCAGCGCCTTCGCCGCCTCAGCCCCGAACCCGGCCCCGGGCGGCGCGAGCGCGAAGCGCAGCCGCTTGGCGCTGAGCACCGCGAGCGCGGGCAGCTCGTCGCGCCGCAGGGCCAGGGCCTCGCGGAGGGCGCGCTGACTGGACCCGTCCAGGCGGACAAAGGTCACGACGCCGGGCGCCTGCGGCATCGACCGCAGGGGCGAGTGGACGGGCGGCAGACGGGGCCGGGCGGCGCGTCACAACGGCAGAGGCGGAGCGGGAATGCGTAGATCAGGGCGAGGCTGCGAGCGCTCTGAGGCCCCTTTGGGCTGGGACTGCTGCGCTGCTGCGGTCGATGTGCTTGTTTTGTCGGAGGACAAACCCTGGCTCCTAGGGGCAAACGGGGTCACGGTCAGGCGGCTTGCTGCGGGCTCCCCCCCCCCCCAAGCCCTTATTGCTCAGGACTCACCTGCGACGCCGCCGCTTGCGCCACAGCCTGCTCGAATGCCTTTTCTTGGTCCTCCCGATCCTTGCTGGCGCCGTCCAGTAGGCCCAGCACGCACAGCGCGCCCCGGCCGTAGCACGCGTCCTGCAGCTGCTGCTGAGTGGTCACCACGGCCACGGCCGCGCCGCCGGCGGCGGTGGAGGTGGCGGCCGCCGCTCCGGGGGATGCATCAGAGAGGCCTGAGTGCGGGGAAGTGGCAGGGATTGTGAGTGTGTGGCAGGAGGAGGGCGCTGTCGGCGTGTGCTGCGGGAGTAGAGGGCTGGGCCGCGGCCGCGGCTGGGTGCAGGACCGAGGCCCGGCAGTTCTGACCCCAGAAGGGGTGGTGCAGTGGGGTGGAAGGGGCAAGAACGCACAACCCCGGTCGTACAGCAGACCATAAATTCTTCCTTGAGAGAGCCGCAAAGCAAAGACCGGCATGTTGCAGCCCAGGTTCGGCCAACCAGTAGCCCACATCCCCCCATCCGCCAAGCAGGCTGCGGCGGTCGAGCTGCCCTCCCAGCAAACCCCCATCCCCGCACCCGACATCACGGCCAGGCTCTTGAGCCAGGCGGCCATGAGCTGGTACTTGAGGGACCCCACAAAGGGCTCAAAGCCGAGGGGGGTGGTGCCGGGGGGCCCCTTGGGGGCGTTGGGCCCCAGGTAGGGCACTGCGGCCGCCAGGCCTGGGACCCTCGGTAGCTGCGCGCGCGAGGGCGTGCGTGTGCAGGCGTGCACGCGAGGCGGTGAGTGTATGGAAGGAGACGCGGGTGGCTGGGGGTCTGGATTGTCGTGCAGGTAGGCGACGAGCTGTGGGTGTGGGTGAGACACAGCGGCGGCTGCATCACGCCCAGACAGCCCTCCGGCTGCGCCACAGGGGCCGGCACCACCCGCCAGTGTGCCAGTCCCTTCGTCTCCCTTTTTTCCTGCAAGGAGCTCGCACCCGCAGCATCTTGCGAGTCTTTGCCGAGAACTCGGCCGTGCTCTCGCCCGGCGGGATCCACCCGAACGTGAAGCGCAGGCCGGCCCTCGCCGTGTTGAGGGCGAGGGCCTTGTAAATGCCCGGGACCTCCCCTTTAGACGCGAAGAGCAGCACCTTGCCGTACGCCTTGCCGTCGCTCTTGGGGGACGGCGCTGCGCAAAGGGGACGAGCGATGGCAGCGGCAAAGGGGCGTGGGAGGGCGAGCGTGCCAGCGGGCGTGCGGCTGCAAATATGCGTTGCGGCGATGCGCCGCAACTGGCCAGTGGAGGGTTGACAGCGACCCACTAACCAACAGCTGTGCTGCCTGCCCTCACGAAAAGCGCGTGCCGCGACGCTGCCAGCGCATATGCAATGCTCCCAGCGCACAAGACAGCAGTGTCGCATTCTGGACACGGAGAGGGGCCGCTTCCAGCTACCTGCGAGAACACCCGGACCAGCTGCACCAGCCGCACTCCTTGCACCACACACCCCACACACACCACTCGCAACATCCGCACGACCCACACCACCGCTCAAGCCGCACCACCCATACTATCCGCACCATCCGCAACACTCGCACCACTCGCACCACCCCCACCACCCGCGCCACCCACACTGTATGAACATCTGCATCTCCTGCTCGCTGGTCAGGATGATGGTGGAGTCCGGGACGTCCTCCAGCAGCCAGCCCTGCAGCGCCTTGGCGTCACCTAGCCCGCCCTCCCACCTGGCCGGCATTCGCAATGTGGGGTACAACGGCATGAATGGCAGGACGACGGCGGGCATGGCAGGGAGCGTGTGGCTGCATGGTGTGACAGGCATGGTGTGACAATCAGGGCCTCGGGGCGGCTCCAAAGATTCCAAGCCGGTGTTCCTCATCCCTCATCTGAACTACGTAGCTGCAGGCGTCGGCTGTGGGGCTGTAGACCGCCTGCGCAACCTCAGACCAAGCGTGATCTGACTGCCAAACAAGCGCCGTCAATCGCCAGCGACCACCGTTAACCGCCCCACCTCTTGTACTCGTCCAGGTCAGCCTTACCCTTGCCGTGTGGCAGCAGCACAACCTGCATGCATACATGGGTGAGGGCGCGACAGGCCGCCACACGTGAGCTCACGCCGCCGCGCTGTTCACTGTGAGGGACTGCCACGCCCAAGTCTCACTGGGGGCGCACGCTCGCCCCCTGGTCCCAGGGCGTCGCCTCACCACAAACCCCCGTGTGGCAATCCAACACACACCTGCAGCTCGCAGGGCGTTGCCTCGAGCGCCTTCAGGTCGACCCCCATCGCCGACAGCGCGCGGCGGTCTGCCTCGGACGCGCCGAGCGCGTCCAAGGTTGCGTATTGCACCACGGACTGCGCGGCCTTGGCGGCGGCGTCGAAGGCGGCAATGGGCTCCCGGCACGCACCATCTGGAACGGGCGGGGCGTTTTATCGGCGGTCTTTTGTCAGGGGATGCGGCAGCACGAGAAGGAGGGCTGGCGGTTCAGGACATGGCAATGGATCACTTGCAAAGAACGCACGAGTACCTGTTGTGATAATGACTTTATTTGTAGGACAGCAGATGAAGCGTGGAAAGTGTTCTGTCAGGGCATGGCAGGGTGAGCAGGGCAGCTGCCACACAGTTGCGCACCCTCCTTGCCGCCCGCGTGCACGGCCAGCAGCCACATTGCCTCGTCTTCGTCGAGCGCTGTCAGGTTTGCCGACGAGAGCCGCTCCACAGGCACAGCAAAGATCTTCTCAAAAACCTCTTCCTGTTTGGACTTGGAGCCATTGGCGCGAGAGGAGATGGCGCCCGCGTCGTCATCGTCGGGGACCGGCTTGTCCGCAGCAAAGGTGTCGAGATAGGCGCGCAGGGGGAGGGCCTTCAAGGGGCCAGTGTAGGTGTCATGCGCGCCGTCGGGCTGCGACGGAGTGGTGTGTGAATATGAGAGGGGGATCGCAAGGTTGTCAAGGGCCGTCCAGAATCATGGATCGAGCAAACTCACAGGTCGTGGAGGGGCCACGGCAAAATGTACAAGCAACAGGGGACGCAACAACAACCCCACCAAACCCCGCAGGGATGGAACCAAGCAGGCATGCGAAACGCTCCAGCCACAGCTTGAGGAATTCGAACCGACCCACTCATCCAACGGCGTTTGCTGCAGACCAACAAGCACGCACCCGCTCTCACGCTCGCTGACGCACCACTCCTCCTACACATGCCCGACCCACAAGCTGCAAAGTGTCACCGCACACCTTGATCACCACCAGAGTCGGGTACTCCTGCACCCCCAGCCGCTCCGCCGCCGCGCCCGCGCCGCCCTCGCCCTTGAGCGCCTGACCGAACCGCAGGCGCCCCGCGTAGGCAATTGACAGCGCCTTGTAGAGGACTGTTGTCTTCTCCTTATCCGTGAACAGCAGGACACGCGCCAAGGACGCGTCGCTCGCTGGCCCATTGGCCAGTGCTCCATCGGCCGCCATGCCGTCGGCGGGGCCGCTGGCGGGGGCCTTGCTAGACAGGGCAGGCGCGAACGCCGCCAGCTCTGCGGCAGACGCGACATGCGATATGCGCCGGTCGTGGAGGAGGGCGGTCACCGCCGCGGCGATGGCGCGCGCGCCGGACTCGCCTGCGGGGCGGCGAAAAGGGGCAGGCGGGGTGGGGTCGGGCGGGGTGAGGACGGGTGCGCAGGCTTGCACAAAGCTCGGCCAATATGCCACACTAGATTGTAGGCGTGCTGAGCACGGTGTGCATCTCCCAGATTCCTATACAGTAACCTACAATTGTCCACCATCGGCACGCACCTTCCCGTCAACGGGCCCGAGCCCCAGCAGAAACGGCCCCACCCCCACAGCCCTGCCTCAACCGACCCCGAGCCGCGGTCCTCAGCCGTGGCGCGCCATCAGCCCCCGATGCCACAGCCACACAGGGACCCATGCACGCCCCGCCCCTATCCTCCGTCGAAACGCTGCCACAGTCAGCCCCTCCCCTGAGGCCTTCGAAGCATGCGCACCCCGCACCCCGTCACGCCATTGGTCCCGGTGGGCCCGCATCACTGCACCACTCCCACCCACCCACCACCTGCTCTCCCACCCACAGCCAATTTGGGATTGGCCCAAGCACACGGCACTCTCCTGGAGGCAAAGCTGGAGTGGCAGAAGCACTGCACCCCTTGGAAGGCGATTCGAACTCGGCCCCAGCAATGGCCCTCACCTTTGTAATCCTGCATGTCCTTCATGCCCTCTCCTGTGTATGGGTTGGGCTTCAGGTCAGGCGCGAATAGTTTGAGTGTGGGGTACCCACGGACGCCAAACGAGTCGCAGAGCTTCCGGCCCGCTGGCTGGCTGCAGTCCACCGCCGCGACGGTCGCGATGCCCTGCAGGCGACGGGGGCGGCACCCGCGTCAACGGCGGCGGCAGGGCTTGCAGAAAGCGCAGGGCGTCCGCTTTTGATGAGCGTTGCGCGGGGCGTTGCATGTAGCGTCGGCATCGCGGCCTTGACGGCGCACAGCACGGTGCCGGCGTTCTCTGGCTCGCCGGTTTGTTTTGGCGCTTGGCGGCGACGGCGCTTCCGGGTGGAGCCTGATCACACGACCAACCGCGGATGCAAAGCAAGGGTGTCGCCAAAGGCTGTGCGTTAGCCCCAGCGGCCGCACCTTAAGGTTTGAGGCCACCTTCTTGACCTCGGGGGCCAGCGCCGCGCAGTGGGGGCATGAGGGTGTGAAAAACTCCACCTGGGAAGGGGCGGGGATTCCGTTGCAAGGTTTTAATAATCTGGTAGTCGCCAGAGGGGTGATGTCACAGCGGGATCCCGCCTACATAGGAGGCCCCGGCTGCGGAACCAGCGGCGGGGCGGTGCCCCGAAGGGGCGCTGCGCGCCAGCGGCTCCTGCAGCTTGTCGATCGGGGGCTAACGCATGGCTGCAAGGCGGCGGCGTATACGTGGGGCCAAGCCGTGAGGCAATATCTGCATACACGTCAGGCACGTTGACGCAGACCCTAGGCAGGGGCCGTATGGACGGGCGCACTGCGCCGCCCATCGGCCGCTTGTCTAGAAGTTGCCGCGCTGGGCTGGCCTCTCCTCACCAGGCCGGCGCCGTGCGACGAGAGCAGCGCCTTGTTGAGGGAATCCTTGCCGTCTTCAAGCAGCAGTATATCATCATCCGCTGTGTACAGCGCCGTTGCAGGTGCGGCAAGCAGCAGCAGCAGCAGAAGCAGCATCGCAAGGAGAGGCGCGCCGACTTGCGCCGCCCACAGCAGCGGTGGTGATCGCCGTTGTGGCGGTCCCATCAAATTGCTGGAAACAGCTTTTTGGTTTCAACGCGTCTCCTTTCTCAAGCACGCCAGCGCCCCCGCGTGAGTGATGTTCCGTGTAGACCCTGCTGCGCTGCTTTACGGTACCGTTTTTTGGCTGTGAGAACGTTCAGTAAACTCATCCGAGTTTGAGCGTGGCAGGCACTGACGGTGAAGTTGATGGGCTCGATCAGATCGCACAGCGAGGGACATGGTGTGCGGTCAACCGCTGTCGACCGTTGCACCAGGTGCCCAGCGCCTGGGCCGCATCATGCGGTAGAGCTTTGACTTAGGATGTTATCACGCACATGGCGGCGTGACACGGCTATCAATTCCTGCTAGTGGTGTAGAAGCCTGGCCATGGCAGCCGTGCTGCCAACGCCCCACTTCCTCCGCTGGCACGAGTCCATTTCCCCATGCTTGGCACACCATAATCAAACACACACATTTTATCACGGACTGGTCGCAGTTTACACAGATGATGTGGACATGCACAGATAGATGCTTGACTGATAAGGACTCGTACCAACAAGAAATATACGAGTCGACACAGCATGCGGGGTGCATCGTGCACACTTGTGCCAGGCAGGCGGCATGGCAGCCTTGAATCTGGGTGGTTTGCACAGCGGCGGCAGGATGCAGTCTCACATGCGTCGTTGGTACCCGGCATGCGTGACCGCGCGCCATCGGATTCGCAGTATCGCAGGGCTCACGGGGACGCAGGCCGTGTGACTGATGTGAGCGGGGATTGATTGATCGCCGCCAAGGCCGCCAATGACCGTCGGATGTCCAGCATGATTTCGAGCGAGCCGTCATAGCAAGGATTGAGGTGGCGCTAAAGGCTGCACTGCCGCAGCTAATTGCCAACAAGGACGCGCCGTGGAATTGAGTGCCGGCGGAACGCTGCCCTGTCAGGCGCACGCTCCCAAGTAGGTGAGGATGTGTGGTGAGGGCGCATGTGTGTGCGCGCGCATGCGTGCGTGTGTGTGTGTGTGTGTGTGTAAGCACACGCACATGTGGGCAAGCATGTGTGCAAGCGTAATCTGTGTGCGTCCTGCACGCACGCTCGTGAGCAAGTGCATCGTTGGATGTGCTCCGTGGACCTCCGCGGCCACGTGCAACCCTTGCGCAGTGGCACCGCCATTGCTTGCACCGCACGATGTTCCAGCAGCCATCCCACACAAACAGCCTCAGCCGACACACCCCTAAACAGTGGAAACGTGACTGAGTCGGGGCGCCGATACCCGATAGCACTGCACGCCCTGTGGCGGCCCCTATGAAATGGGCGCTGATTGCAATCAAGTGGGTTCTCAGGGATTGAAGAGGGATGGTTTGAAAATATGCAGGGTGCGGGGGGAGGGCAAAAGGCCGCGAGCTTAACAAAGCTGGGATGCGAAGTGTTCAAGCAGCGCTACACTGCCGGTTTCTCACTCAGGTTCTGAATCGGCCGTGCCGCGTGTATGCAAGGCAGGGCCAAGCATGCTTGGTCGTCGATTTGATGATACGCTAGACTCTCACTTTTGCACCAAGATGCCCTTGCGTACGCAGAGCAGACTGGCACCAAACCTCAACGGTCGCCTCTCGGGTTGGACCCCAAAGGGCGGGGCGTCTAAGGGGCTCCGCACAAGGCTGGATGCATCGCGACAACTATGGAGGGTAATGGTCTGGGTTAGCTGATCAGGAGAAAGCAAGCAATGAATGTATCCTGTGCATTGCGTATTCTGCATGCCTGAACTTGCAGTGCGCACTAGTTGGCGACGCAACCTTCTGTGTGTGCGCAAGGACAAGGCCACCCCAGCCGCTGCGGGCATGGCGCCTCCATGCGGCGGCTGCTGCGCGGCCAACTGGGGGCGGTGCTCATCAGCGAACAACAGCGCGGATCTTCATGCCGGCCTCGATGTGGTCGAGAATATTGCAGTACACGTCCCAAGTCCCGGGGTCGCCTGCAGTTAAGTCAACCACGTGCGTTGTGGCTGGCATGACGCCCACTGAGTACAGGCTCGCACCTTTGGGGGCGTTCGGGAGGGTGCAAGGGAGGGGTTTTGGTGTGGGGTGTCACGGGTCACTGATGGGCTGAGGGTTGCTTGGGTTTGTGGACTGGGGTACAAGGGTAATTTCTGAAAGCGTGGCTTCGGAGTGGGTTTGGGGAACAAACCCTGCTTGAGAGCAATCAATGACAACAATGTCCATGAGGACTGACGGGGACAGACCCCTTGGGAAGTCGCGACGGGCAGACGATGCGACGGCGTTGAGTGGCTGCTATCAGCGCATTTCTCTGATAATTGCCCTCCAAAAAGGCAACAACAGCGTGCTGGTACTCACGGTCTTTGTGGACGATTTGCCCCTGGAAGACAGCTGAGTGCATGTCCACCTCGTTGCCAAAGCCCATCACAATTACGCGCAGCGTCTCCCCCGAACGCATCTTCAGCGTGGGGCCGTTGCAGTAGACAAAGCCGTTGATGGAGTGCATCATGTTGGACTCCTGGAACGTGGTGGCCTGAGGGGAGTTTGGTGGAGAACGAGGTAGGGTTTCCGAGCGCGCAAGGCTGAGAATCAGATAAGCGGCTGCCATCCTGGGAGCGGTTGCTCAACACGTCACCAGCACCCCCAGAAAGGCACGGTTGCAGGAGCGAAGGAAGCATCCCTTGCCACGTGTTATGCTTTAGCCGGGTTTGAAGCCTTTTGAACGAGTATGCGCATAACAAAGCGTGCACCTTCTTGTCAAGTGGAACTTTGCTGCCACTCTGCTGCCTTGCCAAGTTGAACTCGAAGAACTTCGACAGCATCTCATCTTGAATGTTGAACAGCAACGGCAGCTCGCGCACGCCCCCGCCGCCATGGGTGGCATTGCCGCCGTCCTTCCCAAGGCCGCCCTTCTTGTAGACCACCACCGCCCCAACCAGCCCCGCGTTGGTGTGCTTGATCTGGTCAACTCCCGAGACATAGGCGTACGCCACAGCGTCGCCGTCCCCAGGGCCGGGGGCCGCGGCGTCGGGCACGTACCACTCGTAGCGAACGGAAGCGCCCGGCGCCACAGCGCCCAGGGAGTAGAGGTTCTCGACCGCCTGGGGGGTGGCGGCCTCCGCCTCGGCCTGCGCTGGCGTGGCCTTCTTGCTGACGCTGCGCGGCTGGGCCTCAATGTCGGCCACCGTTGCAGCCGCGGCGGCCGGCGCGCCGAGCAGGCGGCGGCCGGCGGCAGGCTGTGCAACGGCAGAGCTGTTGGCGGTAGGTTTAAAAAAGGGAATGGCTTTTTGCCCGGCACGCTGCGCAGTGGCAAGTGTCAAGGCTTGCCCGTCGCCTGTGTTGAGCTGCTGGTAGGCGCTGGTGTTTCCCAAAGGGATCAGGCCGCCGAAGGGCTGCGACGGTTGTGATTGGTGTGGGGAGCAGATGCACAATTGCTGGCGTTGCGCAAGGGGCTTGGGTGGAGGGAAAAACGTGCAAAAACGCACTCGTCTGTTGACAACATAGCAAAGGTATGGCATCGGGTCACCAGCCTCCAGAACCAGCACATAGGTGCCTACCAGGGTGAATGTGGCCAAGCCGGAATTCACCAATAACCCCCACACACCTGAAGGCTGGCGCTGAATGGAAGGCGGTTGAGGAAGTGCACCATGATCTTGTCCCCAGGCTCAGCCCTGATGGTGGGTCCGAGGATGCCGAAGAGCTCCTCGCGCGGGGCAGGGGTCTTGAAGGTTGCGTCGGTGTAGCCGCGGAACACTGCTTTGCGGTACTTGCTGCCTAGGGTGCCCTCGTTTGTCTCAACAAACACCTGGTTTTGTGGATTTGGTGGTGGCACGTTGGTAAGCATGCTGATTTAACGTTGTGGTGGTGATGCTGCTGGTGGTTGTGTCAGTTGCAATAATTTGACAAAACATTGCAGTTGCCGTGGTGGGAGGGTGAAGTGCGATGATGCTAATTGGCATGATTGCATGCCGCTAGAGGTGTGTAATGGGATTTGCAAGGCTGTCTAGGTTGTCAAAGCGTGCCCAGTTCACCTTTTGGTTGTCGGCCCAAGGCCTGCCAGTGCAGCCGTCCAGCCCAAGTGGCGCATAATCCCAGTCAACGGGCTCGGCAGCGATGTAGTATGAGCGGATTGGGGCGTTCGAGCGCGGAGCAATCTTGACCTGCTGCTTGACCTGTTGTTTGTTGATTGGCGGTTGGGCGTTCGTTTGTGTGTCGACCGATTGGTAAGGTTGTCAACCTACCCACCCGTGAGTGGGTGGGTAGTTGGGTTGGAAATCGCGCATGATGACGAACGTAGACGGAGGTGCACAGAGCGGCGCTGAGCGGCGCTGTGCCGCGCCCCTCGACGGTTGAGACGGCTCCTTGCTGACGAAGATATGCGCACATACTCATGCCATGGGCACGAAACCAGCCAACCGGTCGAGCATCTCACCGTGAAGATCGCGCTCATGCCGGCGCTCAGGTGATCATACACAGCGCATTGCAGCAGGCCGTGGCCAGGGACCATGGGCCTGCGGAATGATCCAAACGAGGCGAGCGAGCTGGCTGCTCAACAGTCTGTCAGACAGCAGCAGCATGGAGCACATCAGCGCGAGCTCCCCTGCCGCCCTGCCGCACGGGTGCATGCAGGGGGACAGCACAAGTGTAGGCACGGAGTGGAAGGGAGCACGTGCAGCGGAACGCTCTTAGACCTCTCGGGATCTTTCATGAACCGCCGGTGGTGCGACCTCCGCCCCTGTGCTTACGAGATATCCGTGGTGAGCATTGCACCAGGCAGCAGCTTCACGGCTTGGCGGCGCTGCCCATCCAGGTAGATGCCCCCTTCTGCCGTGAGGGGCGTGTGTATGTCCTTCGAGCCCCCCAGCGACAGGAAGTATACGCGGGTCGGGACTGCCTGTTCGAATTCAAAGCCCGGGAGGTTACAGTACAGATACCTGGGAAGATGTGAGAGAAGGATGCGGGGTCATTGACGCAGACAGCGGACGCAGAGCCTCAGCTCCATGCGCGCTTTGGGAATCCGCAACATACGCAACGGTGCCCGTTGGTTTCTGACAGGGGCTGTGCAGCTCACCCGTTGATGGTGTGCTTGCTGCTGGATTCAACAAAAGCAGGGTCCGAAACCAGCTGGGCCATTGCTTTGGAGTCTGCCGCAACCTGTTTGGGCAAGAAGGGGCCACAATTTATCAATCATTGAGCATCATCAGGGTCCTGAAATGTGTGTGTGCCACACACAAGGGGCCCTCAATGGAGTGGTCTGTGGAAAGCCCACACGGCTCCCGATTCCAAGATGCATGCTTGTGAATGCGCACGCCCATGTGCGTGTGTGCGCACGCACACATACGCCACTACTGCTGACTTGCCGTGCGGGCACACGAAAGCTGAAGAACTGGTACGCATGCGTGCATGAGCACGCACGAACACGCATGCACGCAGGCAAATGTAAACACACAAATCACCTTGGGCAGGTACTTCTCAAGGTTCTGCTGCAGCATGAATGAGTGGCTCTCATCCAGGATGGAGAACGATAGGATGAACTCCCTTTTGGTGGGGGTGAGGGTAGTGGAGGCGCGCGCCAGGGATCATGGCCACAAACGGTAGGAAGGTCACAACAGCGGGTGCTTTCAGTGTGCATGTCTGCCAAGCAACATCGCACATGCTGTGGTTGCAGTGTAAGCGGCAAACAAGTGAGAGGCATGAACGATGGCAGGCCCTTATGAATGTTTGCATTCCCCAACAGCAAGCAGGGTGATCTCACCTGTCCACGTCCTTGGGGGAGGCGTCGTCGTTGGCGAGGGCCTTGGAGGTGACGAGGATAGCTCCAAACAGCCCCGCGTGGGGGTCTCGGCTCTCCATCACTGTCGGGCCAATGCGAGGGAAACAATTAGGGCTCAACGAGTGGCGCACTATGGCATCACGCGCCATTCTTTCCCTGACACACGATCGTGCCCGCACGCGCATGCGCGTACACACACACACACACACACACACACACACACACACACACACACAAACACACACAAACATACATACATATCCACACACAGCATCTTTAATGAGAGCTCTTCATGCAGTCAATCACTCACTGCCGGGACCCCACCCCACCCACGCACCATGGCTGTGATACATCCACATCACACTGCTGAAGTCGCCAGCACCAGGGCCGGCACGATCAGGGACCTGTGCCGGGGCAGAAGAAACAAGCATCAGGCAACGTGTCAGGCCAGGGCAGTGCTCCTGCTGGCACTAGCACGCACCACGCTCGATTGTGGCAGCAAAGGCAAGGGCGGATGCGAGGGTGTGCTGTGGCAGCATGTGCATCGCGTGGCCCCGCACAATGCCGTTCTGAACACCGCACTGCGGAGTACACAGGGCCCCTCACCCGCCAGGTGTATACGACAGACTCGCCCGGCACGACATGGTCTCCAGGGGCAGCTGCGGAAATGATGGGACAGGGAGCACCCGCCAGCGGGACCTTACGAGAAAAGATAGGTGGCACTTGTTATCAAACAACCAATGTTTCAACCATGAGACAACCTCAATGTTTTCAAATGAGTCCTCGAACATTTTTGGTTTGGAGCAATCACTGCCAACAGGATGCGGCAGATGTGCACAACCCACAAGTGCTTCGTCATCTGATGCGCGCTTGCTGCCGTGAGCTTCAGCAGGACATGAAAGCAGGTCGGCTCTTGGCCGGCAAAAAATCTGCTCACGTGGCAGGCCGTCTGCGTAGGGGGAGCCCTCTGAGCTCTTGTCGTACAGCACGCCGTGGGGGTGCAGCGACACCGCCGCGCTGCCGGCGGGCAGCATGTTCTTGAAGGTCACCTTTAGCGTGTCACCCACGACGGCGCGCAGCACGGGCCCCATCACGCCCACGTGCTCCCACTCAGGGGCGATGCGCTGCAGGGGGTGATGGGGGCGAGGACGGCGGCAGGGCAGCGCCAAGAGCGAGACGTATTCAGCACTGGGGTTGAACGCCGCTGCAATTGCTTTCGCAGATCAGGGCGACCGATGATGAAGATTTGCGCTGCCCGCACGGTGCCCTATGCAACGCTCAAGAAGATGTGCCCCGCACGCTCAGTAATATGTGCCCCGCAGGGTTCCCGTCGTTTGCTGGGGCCTTGCTGAGCAACAGCTGCGCGGCGCGGACCTTGCGGCGCGTGAAAGCGTCGTCTGTGAACTCGACGAAGCGGGCTTTGAGATACTTGCGCCCGATGCGGTCAGCGCCGGGCTGCAAAAACACCTTGGCCGCATCAGAAAACGGGACCTGTCAAAGTATGATGGGCGTGTGAGCATGTGTTGTTCTTGTGTGTTGATATTGTGTGTGTGTATCTGTGTGTGTGTGTGTGTGTGTGTGTGTGTGTGTGTGTGTGTGTGTGTGTGTGTGTGTGTGTGTGTGTGTGTGTGCACGCGCGGCGCGCGAGTACGTGCGTGCGAGCGGGTGTGGGCATGCATGTTGGAGTGTATCCATGCGCGTGTGTGTGAAAGCAAGAAACTGAGTCAAAAGAGAGACACAGAAAGGGGGGGAATATGTGCGTGCGTGTGTGAGTGCGTGCGCGTGTGTGTGCGTGTGTGCGTGCGTGTGTGTGTGTACGTGTGTTTGTATGTATTTGTGAGTGTTTGTGTGTGTTACAGTACGAGAGGGACACAGCATGACAAGGCAAAGCTACTGATTCAGCGGCCGGCGGTGCAGGATGCAGGCACCGTTTGCCGACTACGGGACCTATTTTGAGGGGACCGCATGATGAGAGGACCCCATGTAATGAAGTCTGAGCGAGCGACCACATCAGGTGGGGGGTGCGCACCAGGGTGCCGCCGCACATCTCTCCGCCGAAGGGTGCGTAGTCCCACTCCTCTGTGACCACCCCGACGAAGTAGGGGCGGACCTGGATATGCATGAGGTGTGGCGGTTTGAGAGTGCGAGAAAGGACGAGGTGCGGCAGATGCGGTCATGGCAGGGCGCGGTCCAGACGGGCCTGCCAGAAACAGATTGACCGGGAGCCGCGCGTGCCACCAGTGCAACCCGCACTACCTACGCCTCAGCAATACAGGGCTGCGGTTGGATACAACCCTGCGCGCGTGATGTTGTTGCGGGACCACACCACCGACGCCAAGTGCAGTTCATTGACAAAGTAAAGGCGCACCTTGCCGTCCAGGGTGACAGGCGGGGCTGTGCCCTCAATGGTGAAGAGCGCCATCATGCCGCCATCCATGTGGTCGTTCAGGTGGCAGTGGAACAGCCAGGTGCCGGGGTTGTCCGCCAGCATGTCAAGGGCCTCCAAAGAGCTCGACTGGATCGGGACCTGTCAAGAGGGTTGAGAGTGCATGGTTGCGTTACGCGAGTGGCAGCCTGTGGCTTTTATGCTGTGATCGCAGGTTTGCAGGGATGCTTGTGCCCTGGAAGAGACTGCTGACGTCGTCAAGGGACAGGTGCGAGTGATTTGCGCTTTGGACGAGGTAAAACCGTTGAGCACTTCTACAGCGACACTGCAAAGTGACACTGCAAAGTGACACTGCAAAAAACCACGCATTGTCCCTCATTGCTTGCACCAAACCTGGTCTCACAACCTCTTTCCATGCACACACACGGACACGCACTTGCACATGCACATTCACGCTTGCGCACGTGTGCACGCACGCAGCCACAGGCACAAGCACGCACACATGCACAAATGCATTGACACGCACACATGCACAAATCAACACAGATATACACGCATGCGCACACGTGCACACTCACATGCATGCGCGCGCGTGCACACACACACACACACACGCACACACACACACACACACACACACACAACCTTTGATATGCGCACACACACAGCAGTACCGCCACCCACCCACCCCCGCACCTGGTCCACGTGGTGGCCCTTTGAGTCGTTGAACACCACGCCGTGCCAGTGGGCCGTGTGGATGGCGTCCTCCGACCCCAGCGACGTCACGTACCAACGTACCCTGTTGAAGAGGAGTGGAAGGCCACAGTAGGGGCGCTGCACTGCAGGCCGCCAAACTACAAGGGGCCTGACTGCTGGGGGAGCTTACCGCTTGTGGAGTGCGTTGCCGTGTCGAGTCAACGTTGGCGGCACGCCCTGTGGATTTGACTTCCAGCAACCCCATCTCTGCCTCAAACACTTGACAGGTGAGCGGCAGCTTCAGTCAACCACATCCCATGTGCAACTCCCATGCAGCCCCATTCCCACAGTTTTCTCCACGATGTCACGCCGCCCACCTTTCTCCAATTCTGAAGTTCATCCCAGGGGTGTTGCACCAGAGGAAACCGTTGATGGAGTACTTTGTGTTGGCCTCCAGCAGGTCGTCCTCGGACAGCGCCTGGAGCGCCTCCAAGGGGGCGGCCGCCATGTTCTCATCGTAATAGGGGCTCTTGTTCTCGTTGAACACCTGGCGGCGTGGTCGTGCAGGTCGACAAAAGAAGGTTTTTGGCAGGGAGGCAGGGCTGGGGTCGGGCGTGGCAGTGCGCCAAGGCGAGGTAAGGGGCAACATAGCTGAGGGCGTTCAGGCAAACACGCGGAGGCGGTGGAATCAGCTTCGCATCGCGCAGCTGATCAGCGGGTCCAACGCTGCGGGCGTGCTGGTCTTGCACGGCAGGGCCGCATGCCAACAGTCCCGTACGTTGGCAATCAGCAACGCGGCGCACACACGCACGCACACACACGGACACACACACACACACACACACACACACACACACACACACACACACACACACACAGCCTTGGACTTGAGCCCGGGGCGCTCAGGCTCGCCTGCAGCATGAGGAACACCTCCCTATCAACATCAGCCACGCTGCGGCCGTCCTTTCCCAGAGCGCCGCGCCGCGCGATGACGATTGGACCCGCCAGGCCGGCCTGCGTGTCGGCGACGACGTTGAACGTGGAGCGGTAGAGGAAGAAGCGCGAGGAGGGGCCGTCCGCACCCGGGCCTGCCGACTCGGGGACGCGCCACCTGGGAGCAGGGAAAGAGGCATGCGTGGCGGGACAGCCCAAAGCCGTGAGCCAGGGCGCCGCAACGCATCTGACTAGGCTGAACGCGCACACGTGGGCATGAACGCGAGTGTGCAAGGAGACGCACGTGCGCACGCACGTGCACACACACACACACACACACACACACAAACACACACACACACACACACACACACACACAATCTCTCACGTCCGCACGTCCATCAGGGAAACGACGCACATGCAGCGCACGCTCTGCATAAGCCGTGTGCCAGGCAGTTCAGATGCGCCAATCGCCGATGTGCACGGCTCTGCAACTACGTTTCGACGGCCAGCAGCGCCACCCCACCTGTAGGTCATGGTCCTCCCGGGCGCGACCGGCGTGGGGTTGCCCGCCTGCAGGCCCCCCGGCTCCGCGTTGACCGAGAAGGCGGCGTTGTTGCGCAGGACCAGCACTACAGTGTCCCCGACCTCGGCGTGGAGCACGGGGCCTGCGGGGTTGGAGGGTTAGGTGGGCACATGCACTTGGTATGCGCGGACGATGCTGCTTGGTGGGGGTCCTGCCTGCTGGCTGCTGCACTGCCTTTGACCTTCGTATTGATGAAATGTCACGCTCGCTGCCGACATCACCAGTGTCGCATCAGCACATTGATGCTACTGCTCCTGGTGAGCCGCGGCCTGCCACTGCCGCTGCCGCTGCCGCTGCTGCTGCTGCTGCTGCTGCTGCTGCTGCTGATGCTGATGCTAATGCTGCGGCTTTCTCTGCTCACCCAGCAGCCCCATGTGCTCCTGCTCCGCCTGCCGCTGCTTGCGTTCCTGCGTGTTGTGGAAAGAGAGGGGCGGCAGGCAGGAGGGTGGTTTATTCTCCCTTCAACTTGCGGGCCATGCCCTGGTTAGCACGGCACCTTGCAAGGTTGCTACAGGGTTGTGGCCTCCGGGTCCTGCGGTCGCGCCGGCACGTCGCGGTGACTTGCTGTGTGCCCGACGCCTGGGCGCAACCCCACAGTTTCTGCGCGCTTGGGCACGCCGGAGTGGCACGCCTATCTGGGGATGCACCACGGCCAGCGCCCCTGTAGCCCGTTGATCGCGTCCAGCGGGGGAGGCCGCTGTGCGAGCGCGCGTGCCCGGATCGCCCCACCTTGAAAGTGTTGTCTGTGTACTCTCGAAACACTGCCTTTTGAAACTTGCGTCCTGCACCAGCTTGCACGTATAGCTGCTCTTCTTTGTCAAAGTCCTTGCCCTTGCACAGGTTGCGGCCGCTGGGCGCATAGTCCCACTCTACGGGGTCCGCAGCGACATAATATGTGCGCTCAGCCCCTGCCAGCATCTGGTCGGGCACGGACCCGTCGGCACGCGCATCAGCAAGGGGCTGGTACGCACGGTTGGACTGGGCACGCCGCTTGAGGGCGACCGGCAGCGCGATAGCGAGGGCGACTGCGGCGGCGAGCAGCACCAGCAACGCGGCGGGCACCAGCCAGCGAGGTGTGGCGCAGCGCGGTGCGTGGGCCGGCAGGGCCTTTCCAGGCGGAATTTTTTCCATATCTCTCATGAATATACCGCTATTCTCGACGTCTGAATGTGTAGAAACGTTGCGCGTTGCGCCCACCGCAGTTCCCAGACTGGGAAGTCTGGTGACCGGTGGAGGCATGCAGTCAAGCTTCAGTACAACACTTTCAAAATGATTTGAGCTTTCATGAACTTGCGGGAGGTGGGCTAGGCGAGGGTGATCCGCGGTGGCTGGCGAACGGTGAGAGAACCTGCCCGTGCCTTTGCGTACGAGAGCTTGCACGGCTCTCTACCGACTGAATAGCTCATACATATTTCAAAGAGACCATGTGCACCAGGGTCGTTTGTGCAGCAGTCAGCATGCGTAATCAGGGCCAACCCAGCCATGCTGTGCCCGACGTGCCGCTTTGAACTGCTCAGCGAAATGGCAGGGCCAGGTCTCACCTTGAGACTCGTGCAGGAGTTTGAGAGGGCTGCACACATAATTTAGAGTAGCAGGCCCGAGGTGGGAAGTGGCGTCCAACTTCGAAACGCGGGCGATAGCAGGCCATCACTTGGGAGCACAGGGCCAGCCGGACGGGGACTCAAGCACTGACAGCGGGACAGCAGCACTAGTGTGGACCTCGTGATGGATGGCTTGCCTGCAAAAGCCCCAAGGGAAGGCCATCTCGACCCCACTCGCTCTGAGCACTTTGCTGCTTCCGGCACTCTCCCCACCGCAGCCCTGTGAGACAGTGATGGCCGGCTACGACCAAGGTACTTGAGGTACTGATCTTGATGCACCCCTACTCAGGCGCTCTGCCACCAAACTAAAACCCGGGCATGCAGTGCTGCTTACTGATTTGCAGGGAATGGGTCGCTTCCACACACAAGCGTACCGCTCCTGTTGCGGTCGTGTCATCTGCCGCGCCGCACCTCTGCCAGTATGCAGTTCCACTGGGTTGCAAAATATCTCGTGCAAAATGCTGCACAAGCTGTCCCTGATCAGGACACCGGAGGGCGAAAGCTCAAGCGGGACAGCTGAACAGCTTGATTTACCCCACCTGGCACAAGGCCCAAGCCTCCTTGGCACAGCACACACGATCTTAAGACTGACCAGCATTGTGTTTTGCATATGCATTTTTACGGTGGCGGCAGCAACAGTTACACATTTGGTCAGCGCTGCGTGCGGCTTGTGACGAGCCCGCCGCTCCGCACGCCCCGACACACGCTGCGCGCACGCTCTGCACACGCCCCGCGGCAACTTGGCCCACGCGGCCCTTGGAGCTCAGATTCGACCTCAGAGGCTTTACAAGTTGCAAAATCGTGGCGATTGCCGGTGCGAGAGAGCTCCGTCGCGGCGTTCATCTTTTCCAGCCACAACACCAGCCGCCCAGCGGTCAGAAACCAGCTCGTAGAGTGTGGTTCAGGGGCGGTCATGGACGTCGTCGTGGATGACAAACCCGTCAAGGACATGAAAGCAGCGGCGGCACGTCCCGCACGGCCACGATGGCTGGTGCCCGTTGCAGCGGGTGCCGCCGTCCTGCTCGCCATCGGCGTAGCCCTGGCCATTGCGCTGCCAATCTCGCTGCGCCGCGCCCGGCTGTCCCGCGGCTACGAGTCCCTCGCTGACGCGCGCGGCGAGCTCGATGCGAGGCTGCCACCGGGTGTTGAGCGGACGTACTATCTGGCGGCTGACCCCATTGACTGGGACTATGCGCCCAGCGGCCGCAACCTGTGCAAGGGCAAGGAGTTTGGAGAGGAGGAGGAGCTGTACATCTCGAAGGGCGTGGGCCGCAAGTTCAAAAAGGCGGTGTTCCGGGAGTACACGGACGACACGTTCAAGGTGGGGGGTGGGTGCGCGGTCGTCCTGCAGCGCTGCGGGACGCGCGGCAGGCGCGGCGCGGCGGGGGCCTGGTGGGCGGCAGTTGGGACCGGCTCGGTGGACAGCCGGAGGAGCGAAGCGCACGGGCGGGCCGGTGGTTCCGATCGCACGTTGCAGCGGCTGCCGCGCCAAGACAGCGCCTGAGTCTCCCAAGCGCCCGCTACGGCTGGGAGCAGACCGCCGGATTGCCGTCGAAGCGCGTCCGCCCTGAGCGCCTCAAAGCGGCGCAGCCCACGCTCACACCGCCGCCGTTCCCTCATCGCTGCTGTCATGCAGACCCTGGTGAAGCGGACGATGGCGCAGCAGCACATGGGTATCCTTGGTGAGTGCCGTCTGGGTGTGTGCCACCATGAATCACCATGAGTCACCCCAGCAAAGGGCGCGGGAGCCACTCGCAGGACCCCGGCCATGACCGGGCAGCTGTTCAGCTTCCTGGCAAGATCCGCAACTGCCGGTCGGTCGCAGTCCAAACATGTGCACGGTCTTGTGCACGCAAGCAGCGGCATGCTGCCGCAGCAGCTGGTGCTCAATATCTGCATGCGAGCATTGCATGCATGCAACCCTGAACATCCACTGTCCATTCCCCACCCCCATTCTACCTCGCACCCAGGCCCCGCGCTGCATGCTCAGGCGGGCGACACGATTGTGGTGGTTTTGAAGAACAATGTGGACTTCCCAGTCAACGCTGAGTCAGGCGGCCTGCAGGCAGCAGTGGCCGCCGAGACCGCCCCCGGGGACGTGACCACGTACAAGTGAGCGCGGCGGCGCCGCCCTGGTCGCGGGGCGCGCAGGTGTCGCCCTGTATGTGCGCGCGAAACAGGCTGCTCACATAAAGGGGCATGCAGAACCCAGTGGCTGCATGTGAGATCATGGTCAAGGCAAGGCTTGAGCTTCAGGGGTCAGCAGTCGCAGCTGCCAGCTCTGAGCACTTTGTCTTGAACTGATTGGTGTGTCCCACACGCACTTCATGCAGGGCTCAAAGCACGTGCGGTGCGGTGCCTGGCAGCCCCGTCTAGCTGCCAATCTATGCAGCACCGTCTAGCTGATGAACTCCTCTCAACAAGGAAATACACACACACACACACACACACACACGCAGGTGGCGCGTCCCCGAGTCGGCAGGCCCGGGTGCGGACGGCCCCTCTTCTCGTTTCTACCTGTACCGCTCCACCGTAGACGTCGTGGCCGATACGCAGGCCGGCCTAGTGGGGCCCATCGTCATCGCGCGGCGCGGCGCGCTTGGCAAGGACGGCCGCAGCGTTGCTGACGTGGATAGGGAGGTTTTCCTCACGCTCCAGGCAAGCCTTCTCCCCGGTTTGCGGTCTTTGCTTTCCCTGTCTTGCAGGCTGACCACCAGTCCTCTTTCTGCATGCAACTCATGCTTGAGCTTGCGTCCCGTGCTCCTGGCGCAAGCCCCGCCAACCACCACCCACTGAAAAGCACCCCGAACAAACCTGGGATCTTTGTGACGCTTGCCTGTTCCTGTATCCCAGGTGTTCAACGAGAACAACAGCCCCTTCATCCAAGACAACCTGAAGACCGCCCCCAAGGCGAACTTGGCCGCCCTTTCCGAGGACGACCTGCTGGAGGCCAACACAAAGTACTCCATCAATGGCTACTTGTGGTGCAACGACCCGGGGATGAACTTCACGGTCGGAGAGAAGTGAGAGGGACAGCTGCAAGCGTGGCGGGTCCTGTGTCACGGGGGCGTGGGGCTGGGGGACCAAAGCAGGGTTCACCGCCAGCAGCCACGCGTGCTTCCTGCAGGAGGGTTGGAAACGCACGTCGCAAACGGAGGCTGGCCGCATGTCGCATCACGCACCGCAGGCAACCTGTGACCGCTGCTGGCTTCTGCAGCGCCCATGGCAGTTTTCGCGCTAACCTCGCCACCTGAGATGGTGCCCTTTCACTCTCAGGCAAGCACGCACACACACGCACGTGCACACACACACACACACACACCAGGGTGCGTTGGTACGTGACGTCACTGGGGTCTGAGGACGCCATCCACACTGCCCATTGGCACGGCGTGGTGTTCAACGACTCAAAGGGCCACCACGTGGACCAGGTGGGGAGTGGGCGTAGATGCCGTCGCTAGGGTGTGTGTGTTTATGTGTGTGTCAGTGTGCCGCGGGCCGCATGGAGGGCGGCTTGGTGATGTGCAGGGGTGGAAATTGTCAACAGATAGGTCCTTCGGGTCAGCCTGGTTCAAGGCCTGACCTCACGAGCAATGCCCCCTGCCAAGGTGTGCATTGTCACCAGCCAACCCCAACAAATCGCATTGTCGCCGCAACTTGTGGAGTGCCCCACCGTCTATATGAGATTTAACCTACCTTTGACTATGTGCACCGGTCGTGCATCGCCTCTCCCACACTCACAACCTGCAATTGCAGGTCCCCATCCAGTCGAGCTCCACCGAGGTCCTGGATATGCTGGCCGACAACCCGGGCACCTGGCTGTTCCACTGCCACCTCAACGACCACATGGATGGCGGCATGATGGCGTTGTTCCACATCAAGGGCACAGCCCCGACCATTACCCTCGACGGCAAGGTGCGAGGCCTGATTGCAGTACCACATGGTTCCCAGGAGGTTGGAGGTCAAACTTGCGGCTGCAGTGCTGTCCCAACGCCACCCCCGCATCATGGCAAGAACACACAACACAACAGAACAACAGGGCGATGGTTAGCAGCCATCCGTTCCCTGGTCACACTTCTTTCCAATGTAAACATATCCAAGCCATGAGCCCCCCTTACGCGTGCGCCTCTGTCTCCTGCGCCCGCCTTTGCCCATCTGAACTTGCTATCCACTATCTCTCGATGCATGTCACAGGTCCGGACCTACTTCATTGGAGTGGTCGCAGAGGAGTGGGACTACGCCCCATTCAATGGCGAGATGTGTGGCGGCACCCTGGTGCGGCCCCGCCCTGCAGCCCGATGCACACACGGCACTCATGGCCGATGCCATGTGACTTTTGCTGGTGCTCCTGTCACCTTTGTCGGTCCAGATTGCCCTGCTGGTCGCGGGAAGTCTCGCCACCTCCACGCACACACACACTCACACTGATACTCAAACTCGCTTGTACTCACACACACATACAAACGCGCATCCACACATAAGCACAAAAGCACACCTGACCTTTTTTTCAACAGACATGCACACACACGTGGATGTTCCCAGGTCCCGTTCTCTGATGCGGCCAAGGTGTTTGTGCAGCCCGCCGCCGGCCGCATCGGCCGCAAGTATCTCAAGGCCCGATACGTCGAGTTCACAGACGACACATTCACACGTCGCAAGGTGGGGTCCGGGGCCGTGCTTGGCACTGATTATGGTGCAGCAGAGGGGTTGATGTCAGGAGCACAAAGCTCCTTCATTGTTGGCTGTGTTGCTGATGTGCACGAGTCGCCACATGCATCCCCACCACTGAACACGGGTCACCCTGTACGCAGCGACCCCGCCATCCTCGTCCCCACCACCGCCGCCGCAGCGCATCGCCCCTGAGTGGGAGCACGTGGGCGTGATGGGGCCCGTGCTGCGCGCCGTCGTGGGTGACACGCTCAAGGTGACCCTCAAGAACATGCTGCCCGCCGGGGGCGCGTCGGTGTCGCTGCACCCCCACGGCGTGCTGTACGACAAGAGTTCGGAGGGCTCGCCCTACGCAGACGGCCTGCCCCGTGAGCCGCCAGCAGAAGACCCTTTGGCGCTGCCGGCAGTCTGCCGACACAGCCCCTAACCTGGACGCTGCTGCTGCTGCTGCTGCTGCTGCTGCTGCTGCTGCTGCATAAACTGTGCGATTCGGCGCTCACATACGGATGCACTTGAATGCACATCGCCTTGGCCTCCAGCATGTGCCCAGGCCCTCACCCACCCCGCTCCATGTGCTGTCTTTCATCATCTTGCGACCCCAATCCCCCAGTCGCCCCTGGCGACAAGGTGGCCCCCAACAAGACCGTCGTCTACACTTGGAAGGTGCGCTGACTGGACACAAGCGGTTGGCCCCTGTATTGCCCCGACCACCTGCCGGCCTACCCCTACCTTGCAAACTTGACACACAATGAATCCGGCAGGGAGCCGCCCCCTTCACCGGGGCTATTTCCCTGGCATCGCGCCTCAAAGATGTCCCACACAGCGCGTGCCAGGTATCCGGCTCACAGCCCTACCCCGGTCAACCGGGTCAACCCCAACCTGCAGGTCCCCGATCGCTCCGGCCCTGGTGTTGGTGACTTCAGCAGTGTCATGTGGATGTACCACAGCCACGGTGGGTGGGGGCCCTTTCCTTTGCACATTGCGCTGCAGGGGCTGCCGCTGAAGATATTTCTGCTGCCGGCGGCCGTGGTTGGCGGCTGCTGGGGTGTGACAAGTATTCGATCGTCATCACACATGCATTGGCATCACAGCAGCCACCTACAATCCTCATTGGCTCGACAGTGATGGAGAGCCGCGACCCCCACGCGGGGCTGTTTGGGGCTATCCTCGTCACCTCCAAGGCCCTCGCCAACGACGACGCATCCCCCAAGGACGTGGACAGGTGGGGGTGCAGCCTGCTGTCGCCGTGTTTGTGGATGCGTTACCGCTGTACTCAGACACTGACCCCTGTATCTTGCGTAATGCGGGCGCACAAATTCGCAGAATACCCTGCATTTCTGCTGACCTGCCACGAGGTTTCCATCAACTCACTTTTGGCAGTTGCTGTGTCAAATCGTTCAAAGGCCCTTGTGTGTGTTGTTGGCCCCTATATCAACACACATTCACACTCACACACACACACACTCACACACACACTCAACTCCCACCCCCACCCAAAGGGAGTTCATCCTGTCGTTCTCCATCCTGGACGAGAGCCACTCCTTCATGCTGCAGCAGAACCTCAAGAAGTACCTGCCAAAGGTGGGCCCAGCAAACGTCAACCCCTCGTCTCCCTGGCCTCGAACCACTCATTCGCCCCTTTCTGGGGCCAGGGTGCTCTTCCAACTTTCCCCTCATCTGGTCCGGCCAGCAGCTGTTGAGTGGCTCCCTGCTGCCCACGCGGGGTACACCAGCTCGCATGGCCCAGCCTGACGTGCCCGCGCCTCGGACCCAAAGCCCTCACGCCCTGGCCCCTGTCGATCTCCCGCCTGCAGGTCGCGGCCAGCGAGAACGCCACTGCCACCCTGCTGGAGGACCCGGGATTCGTCGAGGCCAACCTCAAGCACACGGTCAACGGGTGGGTGCCAGCTCAATCCAATCTAGCACCAGCAGCATTCCATGTTCATCTTCTTTGCATTGTAGCACATCTGGGTTGCGTAGTTGTCACATTGCCAGGACGGCGTTGGCCTTGTGCTGGCAACCTGCGCGGTTGCCCCCCCCCCTTTTGACGCCGTAGCTGCCACCACCCCTTCCCCAGCACGCTCATTCCTTTCCCTGTTTGCACGCTCCGCCGCGACCCAACCTGCAACCCCTCGTTGGCAGGTACATCTACTGCAACCTGCCTGGCCTGGAGTTCTCGCAAGCGGTTCCGACCCGCCTCTACTTCCTGTCGCTCGGGGGCTCGGGTGACATGCACACGCCCAACAGGTGCTAGAGCAAAACAGTCACACGCCCGCGCGCGCCGCGATGTGGACCTTGTCGGACGCGGCGGTGCGGCCGTTGCGCGTCTCCTGCTCTGTTAGGGGTTGGCCGCCCTGTCGCCAGGCGCACAGCCAAGAGCTCAGCCTGCACGTGGGACGCTGTGTCTCATTCGCTGGCTCGCCCTGCTGGTGTGTCACGCCGCACCCTTTTCCACACCCCCAATGTGCTTCCACTGCTGATCACACCACTCAACACACCCACCCGCCGCTGCCATAACACACCCGCCCTACCTGACCCTCTTGCCACGGCAGTGTGGAGGGCGGCCTCTACCTCGACGGCCAACGCCGCCAAGCCCTCAAGCTCCTGCCGGGTGCCATGTTCACCACCGACGTGACGTGAGTCGCGATGACGTCACCTTGCCGTCACCAGCAGCCCCCTTGCCCTGCCCTGCGGGCTACCTGAGTTGCGGGACCCTGCTTCTCGCCTGCGTCACATTTCGTTTGCCGTGCTTTCCTGTGCTGTGTCTGCGCCGTCATCTGTACCCCAGCTGCGCCGCTGTGTGGCTGACTGTGCGCACCCCGCCATCCCCGCAGGCCCATGGTCCCTGGCCATGGCCTGCTGCAGTGCGCGATCTACGACCACATGAGCGCGGGCATGAGCGCCATCTACAAGGTGCGGGGCAGGCAGAATCGTATGCAACGGCTCGGCCCCCCGTGATGTCAACTCCTGCCCCAGGGTCGGCGTTCGGCAGGAGCGTGCCCCGCCTGGCTTGTATAGCGACCACGACCACGCTGAATGAACTGTAGAACACTGAATGAAATGTGTGCGGCGCGGCGCGCCCAGCCGCTCACCGCCCTTTCCTTACACCATGAATCCGCCATGCACAATTCGCTCATGGTCAACTGATCTGCCGTGGATCTGCAGGTCAACCAGACGGTCAAGATCACTGCGCCGGCCGACGCCCCCATCCGCACCTACTACATCGCCGCCGAGGTTGTCGACTGGGACTATACCCCCCTGAAAAAAGACGGCTGCAGCGGGCAGCCCTTCAATGACGACCAGAAGGTGGGGGTGGGGCACAGAGGGCTCCCTGCAGCCACCTGCTGGCCGACAGGCCCTCGGTACCCTTGCCCAGTCCCTCGCGCAGGGGCCGAGGGCGGTCCAAGGGGTTGTGTCATGGGTCGTGGTTGTCTGGCCGTGTCGTTTCCAGCGTGATTGAATGTTTTCCGAAGACCCTTTGTCAGGCGGACAGCCTGAAAAGAGGGAACCTTGCGCCATGACCATCCTTGCCGAGGCTCACGATTGCGACCCCTCGCCTGACGCCACCCTGACCTGCCGCCCACAGGTGTTTGTCGAGACCACCGAGGGCACCCTGGGCAGCGAGTACCGCAAGGCAGTGTTCCGCGGCTACACCGACGCCACCTTCAAGACCCCCGCCCCGCGCGACGAGCTGTTCGGCATCCTCGGACCCACGATCAGGGCCGAAGCTGGGGACAAGATCGTGGTGCACTTTCTTAACCGGCTGCCATTCAATGCCAGCGTGCAGGTGGGTGGGGGCCAGTCTGGTCCGCGTCTGACGCGGGGCTTGCAGCGGCGTATGGTGGCAGCTCGCCTCATGCTTGTCTAGGCAGCAGCGGCTTCGAAATTGGCGTTCGTTGTGTTTCCTTGTCGGGCCCAGCTGCAGTCCTCAGAGAGACTCCCGCAGGGTGGACAATTCACAACCAGCCTTGCCTGCCCGGCTCCGCAACTCGTCCAGCAATAATCTTGGGTCTGATCTGGCCTTGGCCTGCCGAAACCTTCGCAGCTGTACGGCGGCCTCATTCCTGTGGGCAACACCAGCGCCTACCAGATCAACACCGCCGAAGCCGAGGCCGCCACGCCCGCCGCCGGACGCCGCCTGCTCGCCCGCGGCGCGCGCCGCTCGCTGGCCCAGATCACGGCCGCGCAGGCCGAGGCTGAGGCGGTAATTGCCCAGTCGGTCGAGAACCTCTACTCCCTGGGCGCTGTGGCGCCGGATGCGTCGGTGCGCTACGAGTGGTACGTGCCCGACGCTGCGGCCCCCGGCCCGTCCGACGGCGACGCCGTGGCGTACGCCTATGTGTCAGGGGTCGACCAGATCAAGCACACCAACGCGGGGCTGGTCGGGGCCGTCGTGATCTACGAGAAGGGCGGCCTTGGGAAGGACGGCGGCAACGCGACCCACGGCGGCGGCGGCGTGCGGGAGCTGCCGGTGTTCTTCAACATCCAGAACGAGATGCAGTCGGAGTTTTTCGAGTACAACCTGGCGAAGCAGACGAACGAGACCAAGATCAAGATCAACAAGCTGGTGAGATCTCGCTTCCTGGGGCCTGCGACGGCCTGGGACGCTGAGACCTGTAAGCTAGATCTAGAGCGTTGCGTATGGTCAGCGGCTCCGTTCATGCCATCATGCCTGTGCCGACGCATGAGGCAACGGCCCCGGTTCTGCTCAGGCACGCATCTCCTTGCGTCCTCCCTCGCCCTGACGGCCCCCCTCCTGGCCTCTCTCAAACGCCCACCCCCATCCTCCCTGCCCAGGCCACCACGTTCCCTGAGTCCAACCTAATGCACTCCATCAACGGCTTTGTCTACTGCAACGGCCCCACACTCAACCTGACGCGCGACGAGACGCTGCGCGTGATTGTGATGGGCTTTGGCAGCGAGGTGGACATGCACTCGGCCGTCTTCCAGGGGCAGATCATCAGCAAGCAGGGTGAGGCAGCTCCCGCGCACGAACCTCCATTGCCCCCTCCCCTCTTGCGCGGGCGCCACCCTGCCAGCCCCCGCGGGCGGCCGCGGCCAAGCCCTGCCGACCGCTGATCCCGGCGGACTGGGCGCGCCGCCGCCTTCTCACACTGGCGTATTGGAAGCAACTCTCAAGAACCGTTGCGAGCTTCCGCGCCCGCACACTCACTCACACCCCCTGACCCACACACTCACGTACGCACATGCACACCGTATCTCAAGGCCTGCCCGGCTCCCGACACCCGATAATCGCAGGCGCCAGCCTGTACTCCATCGGCCTCATGCCGGCCACCACATACGTGGTCTCCCTCACCGCCGGCGACTCCGGGAAGTGGGAGATCTACTGCAACATCCTCGACCACATTGGCGCCGGCATGAGGGCCAAGATGCTCGTCGCTTGAGGGGCCCGCGCCCACGCATCGGCTGCCAACGCTGGAGACCGCGCAGGGCGGCGCGGGGGCGCGGGGACGGGTGTTGCCGCGGCCGCCGGCGCGAGAGCCCGTGCGGCGCGGCTCGATGGTCCATTTTGTGGGCTTGCAAACGGCCTCCTGCTGGCGGGAGGCGTGTCGTCTCGTCATCCAGGCGCCTGCGTGCCTTCCTTTCGCGCTTCAATTTCTATTTTTGGGCACGATTGGGTCGGCTGCATCCTGTGTTTGGTTGAACAGCTCAGAATCGGAAGTGCAAGAGGCTCCTCGCGCGCGGCAAGTGCTGCTGAGCGGGCGACGCCCCTTGCGCCAGAACTTGTTTACACGAGTGCCCCAGCTGGCTGCACGCTGTGGCGCCCTCGCACCCCTTGGGTTTACTTGGAGTTGGTGGGACGTTGGCTGTGGCTTTACTCACGCGCCCACATGCGCAAAGCCTTGAGGCCGGCCCCGGCCCCAGTTGCTTGCACCCTCACACCTCCACCCCATGCCCCACCCCACACGCTAACAGCACCCAAATGAAACAACTTGCCAGCCGCACTTCTCGCCAGCGCGGCTGGTGCGCCTGCCCGCACGCGCTCACGGGCGGCGCCGCCACGCGGCACGCATCCAGCCAGCATGCATGCCCTCTTAGGGCCCCATGCGTGTTGGTGCGCAAACTCTGTCCCTGCATTGCCACAGGTGCAGCCGTTAGAGCACAGCAGCTTGTGTTTTTTGGGGTTTCGGCTTTTGGTTCTTGTTGATGGCTTCCTATCCTGCTACTTTGCCTGCTTACATCGGCGCCCCCAGCCTGCACCGCGGGCACGCAGCCGGCCCTTATTGTGCGGTGGGCCCTGCGGCCCCTACGCATGCGCGCGGCAGCCCCGCCGCCATCCCCGGCAGCCGGCAGAGCTTTCTTGGGCTCGCGGGGTGCCGCGCGGCCGATTGAGGTGGGAAAGCTCTATGCCATATGCATGGACATGCGCGCACGTCAAGGTTCCACTAATGCTTTGGCAACAAGCACACAAGAGTTGTTCACAACCGGTAACCCTTCGCTTTCAGTGGGACTCAAGTCCTGATTGACACTGCCGGGTGGCAAGGGGGGGGGGCACCTTGCGGCGGCAGGCACCAACCAACCCAACGCGGCGTGCTGCAATTCCAAGGATCGATAGTATATGGCATATCCGCCTGAATTCGTCTCGCCCTGGGCGCCCGCACATCGCCTTGGCGCTTCTCACGTGCTGGGAGGGAGACACTGGCTGGCCGGAGGGAGGCAAGCGGGCGTGTGGTCAACCTCCTCACAGTAGGCGCCGACAGGCACCGAATGTGCTGTCAAACACAACAAGAAAAAATTCGCTCAACAAAGTGTATTGAATTTGGACAAGTGCCGTGTCGAGCCCAGGGCAAGCCCACACTGTCACGCATAGAGATCTCTGCCATCACGCGCTGCATCTGAACAGCTCGAAGTCAACATGCAAGCGCTAGCGTGCAGATCTCGCTTGCAGGTATGAGGATGGCGGCCCATGGCCCAGGATTTGCAAGTGCTTGCATCGCCCAGACAAAACTCAATGGTGATAAAATCCCGGATGACGCACAGAAGACAGCAAGCTGGCATATCTACAGTTGACGCTCGGTCGATACATTGCGCTCCCATTGCCGCAGGCGCCCGCCGTGTTGGCGCGCGGCACCGGCCGAGCAAACGCAGTGGCACCGCTGTGCGCCAAGAAGAAGGGATTCAGCGGCGATGCGCAGGCAGCAGGTGTCAAAGTCAATTCACGCGGCAAGGTCTCGTCCCGGCCGGGCCCCGCACCGCGCAAGCAGCAGCAGCAGCAGCAGCAAACCTTGCCACAGCCGGCTGAGCAGCAGGAGCCCCAAGAGCAGCAGCAGCAGCCGTCAGCTCAGCAGCCGTTGGCAGCCGCAGCGCCCCCCACCCAGCAGCAGCAGCAGCAGCAGCCGTTGGCGGCAGCGCCGACGACCACGCCGCAAGTTGTGGTTGACCGCATGGCGAAGCGCGTGGTCAGCTTTGTGGCTGCGCCGGTGGTGGGCGGTGTGGTGGCACTGGGCGCGTTCTGGTACCTCAAGGTGCGTTTCGGCAGGTTGCAAACAATCCTTTATTGCACGGTTGCAAATTGTTGGCACACATGCACGCTTGTACGCGTGTGCAAACATGCGGGCACGCGCGCCCGAACGCACGCGCACACACACACACGCACGCACACACGCACACACACACACACATACACACATACACACACACATACACGCACGCACGCACGCATAGAACAACACGCATACACTCATACACACGCACACACACCACCACACACACACACACACAACCCTTCCAAATCAACCAGGTCGTGGCCAAGGTTGAGTACCCCCTGTGGCTGGCTTACCTTGGTTCTACCCTCATGTTCGGCGGCGGCCTGCTCGGCATCACGGTGGGCACCCCCGCACCGCCGCCCCCCAGTCCCACCGCCCCCGCGCCCGCACCGCAGCGCCACGCCCCCGACGCGGGGCGCGAGGCGCAGACCGGGCCCCCTGCGGGGCCCGAGCGGGCACACTCTGCCTGCACGTGCGGGACATCGTACGCACCTCACTGCCCACGCCTCACATTCTGCTGGCGTGTTGAGATTCTCACATCGATCCCGCCCCCGCCCCCTCGGCTTCCTCTCGGCAGTATGGCATCCTGTCCACCAGCTGGGACCCGCGGCGCGAGGGCACCGCGCTGGGGTGGACCGAGGTGCGCGCCAACCTGGCGGTGCTCATGGAGAAGGGGAAGCAGCAGCAGCGCTGAAAACAAGCCCCCGGCGGCGCGTGTGCGAGGCTCCTCTTGCGGCAGCAGCAGCAGCAGCAGCAGCAGCAGCAGCAGCAATAGCAGCGACGGCAGCAGGAGTGGCGATGGGCGCGATGTCGTGCCGCGGTGTTGCAGCGCCGAACGGGAGCCAGAGCGAGGCTGGCGGCGACTGCAGGGGTGCCTAAGAATTTCTGGCCATGCTGGACAAGGTCAAGGTGTCGCAGTTTTTTGGTACGGCGAGAGTGTGCTAACAACAGTGTTTGGCAGGAGGGGCCACGAGCAGCGACGGCAGCACTGACGAGGGCGGGCGGGTAGGGGCGGTGGAGGCGGCAGTGCAGCAGACGCCGCTGCAGCCGCACAGCAGCAGCGCCGCACCAGCGGCAGCAGCGCTCGCGGCTGCCGCGCTGTGGGTGAGGGAAAAGCCCTGGCAGCGCGAGGGCAGCGCGACAGCAGCGGCATTGCTCACAGGCAGCGCCCAGAGTCCGGGGCGGCCGCACACCGCTGGGAGGCCTCCCCTACATACATCGACAAACGGGGCAGCAGGAGTGGCGCGGGGCCAACACAGAGCAGGCGCGGCACTTGCCGCAGCACTGGGGCAGGCGCAGGGAAGCACTGCAACGTGACAGCAGCGCCCGGCCGCGGCGTGGGCGGTGACAGCAGCAGTAAGCGGTGCGCTGAGGAGCCAGGGCCGCGGCTGATGTCGCCGCAGCGACAGCACCAGCAGCGCAGAGGGCCAGGGCGGCGCAGCGAGGGCAGTAATCAACATCGCCAGGCAGGCAGGCAGGCACCTGGCGACTCGTGAGCGGGATTGCACCAGCTGACAAGGAAACAGCACCAGGGAAAGCAACGGGCGGCGACGGCTGCCCTTGGCTTTGAGTTGTGAAGCCTGTTTGCCCCCGGCGCTCGTGCGGACGCACGCACTGGCTGCGAGCGCGCAGCGCCTGCCATGGCGGCTGGCCCAGCGACGCAGCGCCGGCGGGGCTTTTTGCCAGAGACGCCTGCCGCCTGATTCGGGAGGAGCAATTTGGTAACTGAGAGGGCGCACTTTGTCAGGATTGGCTCGCGAGCTTTTCTACCTGCCACGCTTGATGACGCAACCCTTGGCGTTTGTATTGTAACAGAGTGAGCTGGCGCGCGGCGGCTTTGGAAGGGCTTCTGCAGCGGCCGACTCGTACCAAAAGCCGGCGTCAGATTTTCTGCACGCAGCAGCGCCCCAGACACGCGCACATTTCAGAACCAGAACAGCACACATGCCCTCACCGCTTGGGACTCGCACGCAAGGGCAGGTCAGCGCATGCCCGAAATGGGCATGGGGCTGGTCGCAGCTTGACTGGACTGATGCAGGTGGTGCTGACCAGTCTACTATCAAACCTGCAAGCGGTCGACCGGCTGCAGGTGGTGTTGGCAGATCAGTCAATACCACGTGCATCTATCCATTCTACCGGCTGCAGGTGTGTTGGCAGACCTGTCAACACCAGCTGCATCCATCCGGGCAATACACCACACGTCCACACAGGCGCAGCGAGAAGTTGGCGTGCTTGCAAGGTCGGCATCCTAATCAGCAATCCCGCATGCATATTGCCACACCTGCCACTGCTGCAGGTTTGCTGGGATGCGAGTAAAAATGCAAGCGAGATGCAGGCTGCCCCCTCCCTGCCACAAACATTGTGTTTGTTCACGATGCACACTCCTCCAAACCATTGTGGAGTGACACATTCTGCATGCACCTGCCCAGGTGACTTCTGCGACATCTGCCGGCTCCTTCATGCCAATTCGTGCTGGTGCCACATGCTACTTAATTACAATCCCTGAACAACCACAGCTGCTGCAACTGCGAGAGTCGTGAGGGGTTGAAAATAGTGGGGCAAGCCGTCCTACCAACAACAACAATATCATTCAAAAGGCCTTGACAACTGGAGCGCAGCCTGCTGTACCTGCGCACGTCAGTGTGTTGCATCCACCAACAATCCTCCTGATAACTGGTGGTTTCCTGGCAAGGGTCACAATATACACTGCAGAGACAGTTTGAATGTATGTGCACTGTCGGTACAGGCAGCGACTCTGAGATACAAGCCACATTGTTCTGGGGCTCAGGAGCCCCTGCCCTCGGGTGCAGGCCTCGCTCAAGAAAGCAAACCAAACCCCGGCAAAATGGCCACGCGGTTGGGTAAGGAATGGCGGCCAGGGTTCTGGCGCGCACGCTGGGCAGATGGACGCCGAGCCTGGCGCGCCCTCATCACACACAGGGGCTTGGCCCAGGCCCACCAGGAGTGGGGCGCGCGGCGCCGATGCACCGTTGCTCCAATAAAAACAGCCCGGGGCGCGCCGCGGGCGCAGCTGGGAGGCGTGAGTGCCCAGCCTCAGTGCTCGTGAGCGGGTCTCCGGCGGCATGTGTGCGTGTCAGCAAGGGTATGCCGGCCTGCTGACGGTCTCTCCCCCCCTTTGAGTGCCTCCTGAGGGCGGCAAGCCGGAGTGGTGGTGCGCATGCAAGAGATGCGCGACTCAGCATGCCAAAATGCATCGCTGCTGTCATAAGACCCGATTCTCGATTCGATGACCGACACAAAGCACCGGCAGAAGGCAAACAGATGCGTCCAAGCTTTGCAAGCGCGGGCGCATGCGGCAGCGAGCGCGACATAAGATGCGCGCAAGAGCACGGGTGTGGGCGCGTCATGCGCCGTGTGTTATTGTGTTGCCAGGGGCTGCTGCTTCGCGCCCTTTGGTGCAGGCATGCGGTTGGTTATTTGTGCACCGGCCGGCCGGAAAGAAACCAAAAAACATGTGGTTTCGTCAAAGCAGAGATGGCAGCAGCGTGCCGAGTGGCGCCGCGCGCCGGTTGGTTGATGCTGCCACCAAGGCCAGCGCGGCTGCTGGGGCTGTGGCCGCGCAAGGCAGGCTGGGAGGCTGCCGGCAGCTGGTAATGCGGGGACTCCTGCGTGCTGCGTGCAGCTGGCGATGGCTCCAAGATTGGGTGACTGGGCGGCTAGCGGCAGCGGCGCGTCCACTGAATGCTGCACTCGCAGCTGGGGTGGGTCCGGCGGGTGGCTCCACATGCGCCCCGGCAGCGCAGCAACTCCGCCTGCTCGGCGGCTGCCGGCGCGTGCGACGCACCGCTGGGCGTGGCCACACCCCGCAGCCCTGCGGCACCGGCTAGGGCGCCGGCGAGGGCAGCTGCCGGTAGCGCCGCTGACGGAACGGGGGCGCGGCCATGGGTGGCCCGACGGTCAACAGGTTCAACACGTTGCAGGACACGACCTTTGGGGGAGGGGCGCGCCAGGCCCTGGAAAATCAAAGGGGGCGCGGGGGCCGGGGCTTGGGTGAGTGGCGAGGGCAGAGGGCTATGTGCGAAGCACGGCGGGCCAGCGCGCGAAGGTGGAGTCGAGGCCAGCGCAACGGGCGGCAGTCGCTCCAGCTGCTGCACCCCCCAATCAAGCCGTGGCCCCGCTCCGAGGCGCCCCCGCCCCACCTCATCACGCCTTGAGACGGGTAGAGCCGCTTTGCGCTGCTGGCTGCGTCGTATCTGTAGATGCCCGGGCACGCTGGCTGGTCCCCCACAAGTGTCGCGCCATCCTGCAGCGGCGTCGCCCCTGGCTGCACTGCCGGCACGGCGCCAACGATGCCGCCGCTGCTGCTGCCGCCGCCGACCTGCGGCGCCACCTGCCCCGCGAGCAGCTGCTCGATCGGCACCTGCGGGGACCCTGGCGCGACGGGGCGCCGCACGAGGGGCAGGAAGCCGGTCGACGCCGCTGCGGGGTCCTGGGATCCTGGCGTCACCGGCGCGTTCGCGCTGGGGATGGCGCTGCTGGGAATGCCGCCGGTCAACTGTGCTTGCGCGTCGAACGGCGCCGGCGACCCGCCAGGCGCTGCCGACGGCGCGCCCGTGGGTGGCGGCGGCTGCGCGGCGAGCGGCGGCGGCGGCG